TTCTATTATTCTATGATTCTATGAACATGACTTCAGCAACTACATCATGATGCAGTAGATATCAATGCATAGTTATCTAAACCTAAAATGAAACATTCAAGTCCACTTCACTATCACTTTATGTTTTTGTGAAGAATAAAATCTGCAACTGTGATGGCAAATTTCCAGCAAATTTTCATTATACTGCCTTTCACGGGATTGTCTGTTTCTGCCATCAGTTCTATTTCTGTAGCAGAACTTTAATTTTTAAAGTCTTTCTGAAAATCAGTTCGTAAATTTAAGTACTGGATGTTTTAGGGGAGGAAAGCAGCACAAGACAGGAAAAAAATAAAATAAAAGCATCAGGAAAGTACACAGGAAGAAGCAATTAGGAATTCTTTCCCAACCCCATTCAAAACCATATCTCTCTTGCCTAGATTGATCCAACCATCTCGCCTGCACATGACCTGAATGCCTCTTCCCCAGCCTTTAATCACGCTCTTCCCCTTTCTACTACTATGCTTACACTTCAACTCCCACCTCCCAGCAACTGTTCTCTCTCCCTCGAGCTTTCTTTGCCCTTTTTGTAATAATCCCCCCTCACCTTATCGAGAGAAAGAGAAGTGATATGACAAGGTCTTAATGTAGCACCATGTGCACAATCCTCCAACCTTCCTTCCAAAAACAGAAGGCTCTGAAATTGGAGAAGGAACCTGCACAAGAAAGTTAACTCCAGTTTGGCTTTGCAAGTTCTCCCACTTTTTTATGTTAGTTTAATTGGCTATTGCTTAAAAATAAAATACAGAGAAGCTGAGGAAATGGCAAAAAAAACCCAAACCAAACCAAACCCCAAGAAACACCAAACCCTGTCTGTTACGGGGGAAAGGAGGTTATTCACATAAAATTCATGCTGCATCCATCTTCTGCCTGGTAAATTAAGATGCTGCCATGTAATTTTTCTCAACACAGAAAAAGAAATAAAAGATGATACTTGGATAAAGCATGTTGGCATAATCCTACGTGAAATAATTGTATGTTTGTGCAACATTCAACTACATGCAGAATGGTTAATTCGCCACTGTACCTCATTTTGAAGTTCATCGCCGCTTTTGGTAGAAGCCAGCATCTCGTACAGAGTACAGCAGAGGTCTTCTGTTGTTGGCCCCCCAGGGGTACCACCCTGAGATTCATTCAGATACTTTCCAACTTCGCACCATAGGAAAGAATCATCTACTTTTTCCGAAGACTTGAATTCAGATTTCTCATCACAGTAATTCTGTAAGTGATTCAGCTGGTTATTCAGAAATTTGTTATAATCTAAGCTTATAATTTTCTGTGCATCGGCCTCCCCATTCACAGGCAGCTCCTCAGAGTGATCCAAATCATGCATATCAAATGAAAACACTATATTTTTACCGAAGAACACTCCGTTACCACCATTTTGCTCTTCAGCCATCTGTATGAGGGCTGAAAGCTGTTCTTCAGTGAAGTGAGAGGCAATCCGACATGTGGCATTACAAGCTGCAGTAGCAGATGATGATGGAAACGGCCCAAACATCTGCTTGATCGCCTTTGTCTCATCATGACCAACACATTCTTTCCTGTGAAATGTCTTAAAGAGAAAAACGGCTCCGCTTTCAATTGCTTCTTGTCCATTTTCAGCTCCAACTGTTAACATAAGCAAAACCAAATGTAACTTTATAAACTTCAGACTAATTCTCTGTCACTGCCTATAACATAACTGTATTCAATTTCTTGCTGCAAGTCTCATCAACAGAGATATGAAACAAAGACCGTAACAAGTAGGAATTGTTGCAAGGTACTGAATTGCAAAAGGCGTATCATAAAAAAAGCATCTGTCTTCATTATCTTTCTACTTACTAGAAAGTCATATGAAGGATTACCAATGCTTTCTTATTTTTCCAAGAGGAAAAACTTGTCTGAGATCTTAAACTCATAATAGTATATTTACGAGCTTTTTAAAGGTAACAGACTTCCAGTTTGTATCAGTGTTTATTCACTGCCTAATCTGAATATTTGAAACTGACAAAATGTACAGAACTCAGCTGGGAACTACTACAGAACGTGTGCTAGAAAAATTGCCCAAAGAAATTAAATAAATGCATGAAATTAGACTTATATCTACAAAATATCATACTATGCAAATAAAAACATATTATTATATGAAAACATGAATTTACCTCTTACACAAATATTCGCAAAGGTACTCAAGGAAAACAAGCAAAGCCACCATATGATGAACAAAAATGTCACTACTAAATATGATTTAAAAAGTCATCAAGCATATAATAAATAAAACCAGGCAGCATACTGTTTTGTTTTATATGAGGACAACACGCAGTATTTTTTTTGAAGTTTAAAAAAATGTATTCTAAAAAGTTGGGTAGGTTACTCCAGTATTTTTAGTAGAATTAGTATTTCTTACAAGATTGCATAATTTTTAAAACATTTTAAAAGCTTACTTTCAAGATCTACAAGCTACTATTGTCAAAGTGTCTTTATCTGGCCAATTCTTTAGTTGTATCAGAAGGGACCAGCACAGGTCCAGCAGAGAACAATATGATTTAACTGATAACACTGGTGATTAACCCCGGGCACGGCTAAATCAAAACAATCATTAAAACAAACTATTTATCTTTAAAGGAACAATATTATTCATTATTTTAAAACCTCAAAAAGGCACTTCTGGCAGAGCAAATGTGGCTATCCGCTTTTCAGTAATCAACGCTGTCTTGTGCCTGCTTATATATACCTCTGCTATCCAGTTCAGGGCCTATGAATTTGCTCTACTATGTCCTTGTCTTCTGACTGTTGAAAAAAACTTACTCAAATAACCTTGAAGATTTTTTAATTACTTTGGCATTCTTATTTGTGACTTGATTCAAAGTAAGTTAGGTTCAACTCTAACAAAACCGAGTTTGGTTTTTTTACACCCCCCCCACTACAATAGGAAAGAGTAAAGGAAATTCAGCACTGCAGACGGAACATGGCTGAGTAACTAGAAATGTAACGTGTAAATGATGCTGCCTAAAAATTCAGTATTTCTCTTGCATTTCCCCATGGTGTACTTTGAAAAGCTGAAAAGTTCATGGAGAGGATTGCAGGTGATATTTACAGGATAATTAGATACCTACATATAGAAGATATGTGACAAAGATAAACATATATACACTATATATGTAAATATACCTCAAAGGAAAAAGGTGGTTCAGCCTCTCTCTCAGCACTAGCTATATAGGAATCATAGGAAAAAAAACCCAACAAAGATCTGAAAACCTATAGGCCTAAATTTGGCTGCATGAACCTCACTCTCATATTCCTAAGATAGAAATACACATAATTATTTAAAGTCACTTGTGTCAGAACAGAAGTACATCTAACTAATCTAAAAGAGCAATTGTATTGAAGGATTTGAGAAAAGTCTCTTAGCTTTATTATGGACTAATTCTCCTTTATTATCAATGTCTCCTAATCATGGAAGAATGTCTTGAGAAATTATTACCCCTCCCCTCTGAATATAATAGGCCACCCAAGATGGCAAGAGATACACTACTTGAAGCTACTTTTCCCTTTTTAAGCCAATCAGATCATTTCAGTATGTGACATTTCCCTGTCAAGTCAATCAATCTTACAGTATCTGTTGCCTAAGCTGAGACTTCATTTCCTTGAAATTAAGCTAAAAAGGCATACAAGCAATGCCCTTTCCCTTCTATACATTTCTGATGATGATGGTTGGAACATGACTGTCAGTTCAGTTTGTGCCTCAGTCACTGTAATCCATCCTGGTTTGTACCTCCATAACATCACGCATCTTCAGTCAGCAGTGTCAAGCTGCTGGTTTCTCTCTAACTTGTTCTAACTAAATAATCATGCATTTGTTTTCATCTGGTTTGTCTTCTCTGCTCCATCAAAGAAAAATTTACTACTATTACTTCCAAATCTTTCAATTTATGCTACCTACCCACCTCACTGAGCCTGCTATCAATGTCTGAGAAAAGAAAAAAAAACTGAAATTTTTTGCGGCCATCTTCGGGGAAAAAAAAGGCAGAAATAAAAACCAACCAAAACTAACAAACAAACAATCACAGCTAATACTAATTTCTGTCATTAATACAGAGAACACAAATCTGCCAAATTGTTTTCATAGATAACATTTGCAGCTAAGAATGGAAAATACTTATTTTGTTTATAGCTCTTTTAACCCTTTTTTCCACCATCAGACATTTTTCCCTACTTGCTGTACTAGTTATTATATATTTGTCAACCCTAACTCAACCAACATTTCGCTCCAGTACCTCCTATGATTAAACTACACTCCAGTGGATATTTACAACTAGGTAGATATTCTCCATTTATTCCAAGTTGCTTGTTATGGACATAAATATTCAGATTAAAGGAAAATGACACTGCCAAATTTCTCTACAGCTCTGATTTGCACAGTTTGCTGCGCCTGATTGCTACTTGAACCAGGTCCTTACTTAAACCTCAGTATTCCTCTCCCAGGTGAGTTTCATGCTATGTACAAAGTATATCTTTCAATGATTACCACATGAGCAGCTTTTCCTCAAAAACACATACTGAGTTTTTGGTTATGTTACTTAAAAAATTACTATACTATCTAAAATTAGGACAAGTATGGAAAGTAACCATGTATTCTACTGGCTAAGAAACAAAAGCCACTAAGAGAGAACTGTCTGAATCACCTGAAAGGAAACAAACTTAAAAGTTCAGATTTACAGAAATAAAGTATTTAGTGTATTAGTAATTAATTTTATTCCAACAATAGACTAAATGCCTTTATGCATTTCAATGACAACTTATAATAAAATTATTTTTTAGCACTGGAAATTGTCCTATGTTTGTCTGTCATCAAAAAAGTTTTCCCTGTCAGTCTGTGAGGATGATGTTAGGATGGGTACATATGTAACAAAACTGGGAACAAGCAATTACAGACAGAATGTTCCTTTGAGAGGCAAAAAGGGCAGCAAGGAGTGCCAAGAAATGAGATAAAAATATAAATTATGCAAATGTTGTCATTAGGACAGTCTAGGGGTAACTATCTTGCATGACTTTCCCCCCAAAACTCTGCAATGCCAGCTGCAATCTGTACACTGAAATGGAAGTACTTGAGTTGGGGCAGAGAGATGGCCCTTCCCAGAAGCGCCTCTGTCTGAGAAATACAGGCAGCTGCACACTTAACTTCTGGCATGAAGAGGTTAAAGTCTACTAACAACCCAAGGCCTACTACTTGTATTAGAAAAAACAGGAATTTTTAAAAAATTAGGACCAAATTTGTAAAGTAAGAGTTGGGTCACAAACACAGAAGGAATTAACCACAAAGCGAAATTTAGAACACATGTATTGTCAGATAAGCTTAAAACATGTTTGTGAGTGATTTGAGAAATACTTGAAACTTTCCTTCTGATGACTCACTACAGCAATGGCCATTACAACCAATAATAGCTCTAATAGCCATCTTCAGTGCAACTGTACACCACGACCTGTTACTACATTCTGAACACGAATAACTTGTTCAGCCTTTTCTGAAAGTCTGCGTTTAGATGTTTGTTTCTTAATTTGCTAGTTACTTCAAAAGGAACTGTCAAGAAATCCAAACCCTTGGATTATGAAGAGACATGCTCTGGTCTATAATGCCAAAAAAAAGGCAGCAAAGATATTTATCCATATTAATTATTTTCATCTCTTACTTAGTTCTCTCTATAAGATACTTGAAACATAACCAGAAAAGGAGAAAATGCACCTATTCCATTGAAATTAACTACTCTACTCCCCCTCTGCTTTCCTGAGACCCCACCTGAAGTGCTGTGTCCAGCTGTGGAGCCTTCAGCATAAGAAGGATATAGACTGGTTGGAGCGAGTCCAGAGGAGGCCACGAAGATGCTCAGAGGGCTGGAGCACCTCTGCTATGGGGACAGGCTGAGAGAGTTGGGCTTGTTCAGCCTGGAGAAGAGAAGGCTCCGGGGAGACCTTATAGCACCTTCCAGTACCTGAAGGGGCCTACAAGGAAGCTGGGGGGACTTTTTACAAGGGCCTGTACTGACAGGACAAGGGGTAATGGGTTTAAATTGAAGGTGGGGAGATTTAGATTAGATATCAGGAAGAAGTTCTTCACAGGGAGGGTGGTGAGGCACTGGAACAGGTTGCCCAGCGTAGTTGTGGATTACCTCTCCCTGGCATGCATGGCAGGGGGGTTGGAACTAGATGATCTTTAAGGTCCCTTCCAATCCAAACCATTCTGTGATTCTAGGATTCTATGAAAAAGTTCTTCAATATGTGTCAGTTAGAGCTTGAGCTATGTGCTTAGCTTATGCGCTGATGAAGTTAAATTCTGCTAACAGCAGAAGCTGAATTAATTTCAGTCTGTAGATCAAAAACTAAGTTTCCAGTGAGAACTAAGTTTTCACACCTCCTTTGCCATAATGTATATTCAGTTTTAAAAGCTTAATTCCAGATGAGTGAATTTTATTATTTATTTCTCTCCCCAACATCAAACACTTCAAGCAGAAAACACTGTTTTACGTTTTTAACTGCTTATGTAGCAATCCAATTTTTCATGACACAATCACAGGGAATTAAAGCAGGTAAAACCAAGATGTTCTTTTCTCTGAGTACTCCCATTCCAAAAGCAGCTGTTGCTTTTGCTTACTCCAGGTCAACCACAAGACATATCACACGCTAGACAGCAACATTATAAAAAAAAAAACCAAACCATATAACAATGGAATCATATTTTTAAATAAACCAGAAAACCAAACTGCGCATACACTTACCAGACTCAGTCAAGTTTCAAAAGATATTTCAGGGCAAGCCTGGCATCAAGGTAGAACTAAAATTGTACCAGTATGCAAAGTATACAGACAGAAATCAGTTTGGAAAACACCCACACCAAAGAAACCGTCTATTATTAGACTACTAGAGAATAAAAACGTACCTATTTGTTTTGCAGCTTGTAATATAGTTTTTAAATCACCATTTACAGTTTGGTGTTCTTTTTTGTCCAAATTGTCATCAACAAACTTTACTATCTTCTTCCAAGTAAGATCAGACTTCAGCAACTGCTCATGTAGTTTTGATCTTTTAGTCTGAAAATGCAAAATATTTGTGGTTTATTTTTTAGATCTGTATATGAAGGTTCTTTTAAAATTAAATCCCAGATGCAGAAACCTCTTTCCATTTGCATTCAGTCAGTATGTAGTAACAATTGCAAGCAGTCTCCGTATTACCTGTTCTTTACACTCTTT